ATTCTATCAACTCATCAAGCCTTCTCCCTTACCAAGGCATCATCAATCTCATTACTTTAGTTCATCAAGCCTTCTCCCTTATCAAGGCATCATCATTAAAAAGAGATTAGGTTTTTATCAAGATTTGGGATTCAATAGCTTCATCATGCTTATTTCATCACAATTATATAATCACATTCATGCAAGCATACAATTAAGCACATAGCAGGGTTTACAATACTTCCCAATACATATCATTCGCTATTAAGAGTTTACTATGAAAGCATAAAAACCATAACTTACCTCCACCGAAGATTCGTGATCAATCAAGCGATTTCCCAGGCTTTGTGTTTTTCCTCTCGTTCAATCCTCTCTCTCTCTTTGTTCTTTCTACTTTTCTTATTCAAACCCTCTTTCTTTTACCCTAATTAGTATATACTTAAAAATAAAAGATGGCAATAATAACCCACCAATTAACTTAAAGTTACCTCTTTTAACCCCCAAGTAATTAGACTTATTAAAATTAACCCACTAACTTTATAATTAAAGCAGGAATAGTCAAAAACGTCCCTTAAAACGTATAAAGAAATCCGACCCAGACTGGGATTACGCAGTCTATGACGGCCCGTCGCGCCTGCGACGGTCCGTCCTGCTGCTCCGTCACAGACTTCAGAGACTCAATTTCCCTGAAGGGTCTGTGACGGTCCGTCCTGCCATTCCATTACGAAGTTCAGAGAGTCGATTTCAGTGCCCATTTTTTCAGATTTTCTAAGTGTTTTGAAACGAGACCCTGCGACGGTCCGTCGTGGGGTCCGTCGCCTCAGCCTGTTTTTCCAGAAATAAAATCTGCTGCTCAAAACGACTAAATAGGTCGTTACAGAAATAATCTTTTGTCTCTCCTTAATCTCAATTTAACATTTAAATTAAATCAACTATGTGTACCGTTTTAATTAATAATATAGGTCATACATATAAAAATATAGTAACAAATATCATAAATTTTCATTAAAATAATGAAAAAAAAAATCAAAAATAAAGTTATTAGAATGGAAGTAAAATAAAGATTTACTAATCAAAAAATTATTATTTGGAAAAAAAATAGGGGGAGTTTAAAAGTTACTATTATTTACCCTATGACTCCATTGATTGAGGTTAAGAAGAAAAAAAGGGAGTGGAAGTCGGTAATTAGTGGATCCCCATTTCAACTTCGTCCCTGTAATTCCTTCAGGTATTGAAATCCCTAATTACTTTTCAACAAAATCGTTTTTGCGAAATTCTTTTTAAGTATCCTCGCTAATTTGTTTGTTAAGTAGTAGTTTTTGTGTCAGAGTGAATTGAGCTTGAAATTCTGTATGTAGCTGATAGAACCCAAACCAATTGTTGATTTGGAGAAATTCACCTTTCTATTGAAGAATATAAATGGATGACCCTGTTTCATATATCTAGTTGGTATCGTTACTTATCATGTTTGTTGGCATCATGGCAAGTAATGTGTTTCCTTATTGTGTCTTGCTTTTGATTACACTATTTTAGGTTATTGCATTATTTTGTAGTTGTTACTGTTTCCGTGTTAGTTGCTTGCTTTGTTTTTTCATTATTTTGATATGTTATACTCTCAAGCTGAGGGTCCTTCGGAAACACTCTACTTGCAGGCGTGGAGGCACATGCAAGTCAGGGTGTTTTCGTTGTAAAAAAATGACACATCAAGTGATTAAATAACTTTTTTGGACATCCTTGACCTAATAGGTTGTTGTAGCCCCTTCAATGGGTTTCAGACACCTTGAATGAGCCATAATGCTTTTGTATTTGAGTTTGAAATCTATAAATACCTTTCAAATTCTTGATCTCTTCTTTACCTTTTTGTTTCTTTATCTTGTGTTCAACTTTTGTTGCATTTACTCTTTCTATTTTACCAGAACCAATATCATATCTTTCTTATATCTTTTGGTGTCGTATATTTTTCTTGCTTGTTCCACTTTACTTGTTTTAGAGTGCTTAACTTTACTTTGCTGAGGTCTGCTGCTGTGTTACAATGCTTTATTCTATGTTTCCCTAAAAAGATTCAAACAACTGATTGATAATTTCTGTGTCTTCTTTTCCAACTCATGTATTCCATGTTCAGATTTCATCGAAATAGCATTTCAAAGTGTACTATAGCTTATGAAAAGCTAAGCTGTGACTTTGTAAGATCCCTTACTTAAATTTGTCAAATGTGGCTAACATAATTGTAATTCGTCAATCCAGATCCATGGCAACTGGAACTTCTTCATCGTCTTCACTTCCTGCTGATGAAGAAGAAGAGGAGATACTGATGCTATACGGGTCCGAATCAGGTTGGGTTGAGGCCAAAAGTCACTGTGATCACCTGGCTTCTTTGTCCTCTGATCTCACCCATATTCCAACTCCTGATACTCCTTGCAACAGGTTCATCTCATTATGACCCTATATTTTCTCTTCCTCCGCAAACTCCTAAAGACCCGTACATATCATATTATATTGTATAGTATTAGTGCACTTCTTGTCGCACTAAGTTGTTAAGTGATACATTTGTCTTTGTTTCATTTTATTTCCTTCTTTTTTGTGCTTGTAATGATATTAATTTGTGTTACTTGTTTTATGCAATAAGTAGTTTGATAAGCATTTTTATTTCTATTAGACTTCCAATGTTTAGCTATTCAAAACTTGTTTCTAGGTTAAAGTATCACGGATTAACAATCATGTTTAACAATTACGGTATTTTTTTTCCCCTATCAAGCACCCCATAGTAGGCACTGAGCACTCCTTTGCATCTAGGACCTTACCCCAGTTCTCTTTTTGTGGTGATGTTATTAATTTACACCAAATACAAGGAATAGAGAATGTATGAAGTGTTAGGAAGCTATGTTGCCCGGACTCATTAAAAATGTCATCGGGCGTGTGTTGGATCCTCCAAAAGTAATGCATTTTTGAAGGATCAGACACAGGTGCAACAACATTTTTGGTGAGCCCGAGCAACTTAGTTAGCAAGTTTCAATTTGAGAAGTTCAAAGACATGAAAAGAGTAGAAGAATGGACTGATTTTCAAGGTTGAATAAATATATTTAGAGTACTTCTTTCTCTTTATCTTTTAAGAAGAAAATGTAAACTTTGTACATCAATATCCTTTTGGTTCTTAATTGTATTTTTCGCATCCCGTATTTTTGATACTCATTACTGTATGTCCACTCTCAGTTCCGCAGTTTCTAAGTCTGTATGTTGGAATTAATAGTCCATTCACTGCATTGGTTTTCAGATATCACATAGGCATTTAGCGATCTGATACACTTCCACCCATATTTATAGATGTTTCTAGTTATTCAAGACTAGGAAGGACTGGTTTTAATTTACTTTCCTTGACTTCGTTATTAAACCTACCATACCTGTGAGAATTAGCTGTAAATTGTTATGATATTTCTTATTGGAAGGAAAAGAATTTGGTGACGTTGTGCAAAAAACTTTTTGAAGGTGCCAACATCCAGCAGAGAACTGGCTATGTTTGTGCTGCAAGGAGGTTCTTTGCAGTCGATTTGTTAATAAGCACATGCTCGAGCATCACAAGCTGACTGATCACTCTTTAGCCCTCAGCTTTAGGTAACATTTGTGATACAAGATGTCAATATCTTTCATCATTTTATTTGTCGCATCTTTGAGCTGAAGATACACGTGTTTATGGATTTCCTTCTTTTTTTTTTTAATTCTGGAGCAGTGATCTATCAGTATGGTGTTTCTCCTGCAATGCGTATTTAGATGCTCAAGTTATAATGCCGTTGCAGTCTGTTCATTTCACTGCCTACGTACTGAAGTTTAATGAGCCTCCACCTTTACGAGCAGTGGAGTGTGTACATATTACAGATAACAAAGCAGACGGTTCTTCTACTTCTGGGAATTAATCCTTTGTTCTTCTCTTTGATGCCTGTGATGTTTAGCGAAAACTAATTTGGATCATGGTGTTTTTATCTCGATGTTGGCACATTAACTTCTTATTTCTGTGCTTCGTAAGCAAAATAGTTTCTTGAGGGAAGAGGAACAATGTAAAATCTGTCTCAACTCTAAGGAAATATAATTAGAGTTTAGAACTGTCTGGCTGCTGGTAGAAATTGGGTTGCCCAATTCTGGACATCTTTGTTAAAGGCTTGCAAAATTGACTCAAGAAGAGGTTATTAAGTACTTGTGTAAAGTGGATATGATTATACTTTTCAAAATTGCAAAGGGGTAAAGAAACGGAAATTGAAGAGAGCTCAATTCACAGCATTCAATTTATACTTGTATTGTGTCTTATGTCAATAAAAATAGGGATTTCACTACATAGCCATTCAAAATAAAATAATCATATGCTACATAGCTCTATAATTTGATAATTACTAGCTATTAGCTATATTTTAAATGGAAGGGCGGTAATTTTGATTGTGGAAAGGAAAACAATGACTTAACTGACACGATTAATCTCTTTACCGATCCGAATAGGACTTATTCATACGAACAACACTCGGATTTCATGTTATAATTACCCCTATGCAATTCAAACATAATTTCATCATTATACAAGCAAGCAAGTAATGCATGTATTGGATTTCACTCATCTGTATGTATGTCGAATTTTCGTGCGAAAACATAGATTTGATTTTTGTTTTTGATTTGCAGTCATTTCGATGAAGAACTTGAAAAAACAAAGCAATTGAATTGAATTATATTTGTAATTATATAAATTCTTCGTTAATAATTGATGTTTCATTCGAACAGTTATTTGCAATTATATTCTAATAGATCAAAAATCAACTATTTTTTATCCGTGATTGTAAATTACTCTATTGATTATTGGAGTTTTGGTTAAAGAATATGTTTTCAATTGCATTTGGATTGATTTAGAGAGATGAGTTGATGTCAACAATTTGAGTACATAAATGTATAAAAGCTTAAATCAATTGTATAATTTATTATGTAGTTTATGTTGTATACGTTTGTAATTGTATAAATATATTCATCGATGATTGTTTATTGATTTGTATGTTTTGTATATCTATAATTTTACATTATTTGTATAATCATATAAGTTTTTGTTTGTATAATGTGTATAATTAGACTTGATGAGATTAATATTTGTACGTCTATAATTGATTGTTAAGTGTAAATTATGTGAAAAAGTTGTTTGTATTAGTTAATTAATTACGTTTGTAGTTGTATACATAATTAAATTCTGTATGTATATGAATCTCTTCCATTGATATTTTGGTAATTCATTCTGAAAAATGAGATTATGCAAACTGTTACGTTGGTTACGTTATAGAGTGAATAATTTTTAGAGGAAATACGTCATACACAGAGTTATATAATACATAAATTGTATGGGTATAAGAAGTTATAACACTTTAGAGACAAACATTTCATATACAAAAAATTCATATATAAAATCAATTGAATACATATAACATTTCAAATACAAACACTTTATATATAAAATCAGTTGAATAGATATAACGCATCAAATACAAACACTTTATATACACAGTTGAATACATATAAGAAATTGAATACGTATAAACAATTTTATAAAAAAAATATACTTAGACTGATTTCTAATGATATGTGTACACTCTTTTTTTTAAAGGTTATGTCGTTTACTTAGACTGATTTCTAATGATATGTGTACACTCTTTTTTTTGTTTAAAGGTTATGTCGTGAAAAAATAATGTCACCTTGTAAAAGTTAAATAAATTAATATATTAAAATAATCATTACATAAATATTAATTAATTTATTCGGATGGTGAGATCCAACATCTTCTTCTCTATCTTGTTAGATGTGGTCTAGTTTCTACAAACCGTGGCATATATAAACAACAAATAAATAAATTTTAATGATAAGCATCAATATTCGTATATGTGCAAGTTATGTATAGTGTACTAAAATCAATATACAAATAAATATATTTATTTTTAAAAAAGGTGTCCTAATTGGGATGGGATATAATCGAATTTCATGTTTACTTTCACATACGTGATAATGATACGATAGGAAATAAAATTGATTGATTACACTTAGATTATATTTCATAATTGTTGTAAATTCATTGTATAGTATATGCGGATTATCCATTAGATTTATCCATTATTAAATGGATTCATGTATAGGTGATTCCAAGGTGATAAGAACTTCCAAAATAACTATTTATTTATTAATTAGATGACTTTTGGAGTAATATCTTAACACTATAAATAGAGAATCACTCACCATTTGGAAGACACACTTAAATAAGAAATTTTCTTCCCTCTATCTTATACTTATTGGCTTCTTCTTCTTATTATAATATTCTGAGTTTTCTTTATAATATGTTATCAGCACGAAGTTTCTACTTGCAAAAGTATTATATAAATATTTTTATTTAATTCACATATTTTCATATAATCTCATTATGTCGAATTTATCCAAACTTGAGTTTGTAGCATTAGATATTTTCGAAAAGAATTGAATTATCTTTCATTGGTACTCGATGATGAGATTCACTTAGCTGCTAAAGGTCTTGATGCCACCATTACTCAGGGAAATGAAGCATCGAGCCAAGATAAGGCGAAGGCTATGATTTTCATTCGTCATCATCTTGATGAGGGCCTGAAGATTGAATATCTGACAGTAAAAGATCCACTTGAATTGTGGACTGATTTAAAGGGGAGATATGACCACCTAAAGGCAACAGTGTTGCCAAGAGCTCGTTATGGGTGGATGCATTTACGGTTTCAAGATTTTAAGACCGTAATTGAATACAACTCTGTTGTATTCAGGATAACCTCCCAATTGAAATTATGTGGGGAGACTATAAAAGATGAGGACATGTTGAAAAAGACACTTACTACTTTTCATGCCTCAAATGTGATATTGCAGCAGCAATATCGTGAAAAGGGTTTTCAGAAATATTCAGAATTAATCTCATGTATTTGGTGGCTGAGAACCATAATGCTCTTTTAATTAAAAATCATGAAGCTCGTCCTACTGGAGCTGCTCCATTACCGGAGGCAAATGTGGTGAAAGCACATGATCAATCTGAAGTAAAAAGAGATGATCATCGGGGCTACAATAATGCACGGGGACGTGGCAAAGATAAGAGGCGATACACCAATCGTCGAGGTGGTGGTCATAATAAAAGGGAGAACAACATGAGCTCTCAAAATAACCCCTCAAAAAGTAATTGTCGTCATTGTGGCATGAAAGGCCATTGGAAGAATGAATGTCGCACACATGAGCATTTTGTTAAGCTCTACCAAAATTCCTTTAAAAGGAACGGAAATAAAAGTGGTGCTTCCTCTTTCAATGCTCGAGCTAAGTCACTTATGAATGTTAAAGATGATGTTAATCCGGGAACATCTCATAAATATGATAAGGATATTGGAGCAAATTTGACTTTAAAGGATGATGTTTTTGATGGTCTTGGTGACATTTACTTATATGGAAGTTGATGACTTCTTTGGAGATCGAAACTGATGTTTGATCTTTTAGCTGGGGAATGAAGTCTGTTAATATTTTACTTATTTGCTTTTAGTTATCATGTTCTTCATGTTGAAGTGTTTAAATTTCCGTTGTTAGTTTTGTTTTATACTTCTTTTAATGTATTTTTTATTTTAATGAAAATTAGTAGAAATTCTTAGTTGTCAGTTGGATTCAAGATGGGTAATAGAGATGTATGCCTTCTTGGTAGTGTTACAACACATACAATATTAAAAGAAAAGAAATACTTTTCTAATTTCGTTATGAAAATGACATATGTCAACAGAATATCAGGTAGTACAAAATTAATTGAGGGTTATGGAAGAGGGACCTTATTACTACCTGGAGGGACAATATTGGAAATTGATAATGCATTTTATTGTAGCAAGTCTCAAAAAAACTTATTAAGTTTCAAAGTTATTTGCCAAAATGGCTATCACGTTGAGACGACTAATGAAGGAAAGGTTGAATACCTTTACATTACTACAATTAATGTAGAGAAGAAAATTGTGCATGAAAAATTACCTGCATTTTCTTTTGGGTTGTACTATACAAGTATAAGTACAGTTGAATCACATGTCGTAGTAAACAAAAGGCTTACTAATTTTAATGATTTTATCATTTGGCATGACTAGTTGGGCCATCCCAGATTTAATATGATGCGCAAAATCATTGATAATTCACATGGGCACACCTTAAAAAGCCCAAATATCCTTCAATCAAAGGAATTCTCTTGTGTTGCTTGTTCTCAAGAAAAGTTGATCATTAAACCATCAACAGTTAAGGTTGAAATTGAATCCCCTGTGTTTCTGAAACGTATACAGGGTGATATATGTGGATCAATTAAACCTGCATGTGGACCCTTTAAATAATATATGGTCTTGTAGATGCTTTTACAAGATGGTCACATCTGTGTTTATTATCAACTCGCAACATGGATTTGACGAGATTGTTGGCTTAAATAATAAGATCGAAAGCATAATTTTCAAACTGTACAATAAAGACAATCCGTCTAGATAATGCTGGTGAGTTTACATCTCAGACATTTAATGATTATTGTGTGTCTACTGGTATAACAGTTGAACATCCAGTTGCACATGTTTACACTCAAAACGATCTAGCATAATCATTGATAAAACTTCTGCAATCAATAGCTAGACCATTACTAATGAGAGCAAAGTTATATGTGTCTATGTGGGGGCATACTATTTTGCATGCTTCAATACTTGTGCGCATAAGGCCGACTAATTATTATGGATTCTCCCCATTACAATTGGCTTTTGGTCAAGAGCCAAACATTTTCCATCTTAGAATTTTTGGATGTGCGGTGTATTTTCCAATTGTTCCACCACAACGCACAAAGATGGGGCCCCAAAGAAGGTTGGGGATATATGTTGGGTATTAATCTCCTTCAATCATAAAATATTTGGAGCCTATGACTGGAGATTTATTTAAGGCAAGATTTGATGGTTGTCATTTTGATGAATCAGTATACCCAACATTAGGGGGAGAACATAAGCAGTTGAAAAAAGAGATAGATTGAAATTTATCATCTCTATCTCATCTAGATCATCGAACAAATCAATGTGAGTAAGAAGTTCAAAGAATAATTTATTTACAGAATATTGTGAATCAGCTGCCAGAATCTTTTACTAATCTTCCAAGGATTACTAAATTGCATATTCCAGCTGCTAATGCTCCAGTTCGAGTTGATGTCCCGGCAGGACAAATAGTTAAGGCAAATGAGTCTAGACCACATTTGAAATGTGGTAGACCAATTGGTTCCAAGGATAAAAATTCTCGTAAGAGAAAAGGAATAAATGATCAAGATGATCATGGGTTGAAAGAAATTTCTCAAGATGATACCAAGTCATAACAAATGATGAAATATCCGAGGAGGTTCAAACTTCTGAAAACAATAAAATTTCAATGGATTATGTTTAGACAAGAAAGTTGCGCAATCGAAATAACATTTTGATTCACAACATATTTTCCTATAATGTTGCTATTGACATAATGCAACAAAATGAAGATTTTGAGCCAAAATCTGTTCACGAATTTAGACAGAAAAATAATTGACCCAAATGGAAGGATGCAATTCAAGCAGAATTGGCTTCACTAGAAAAACGTAAAGTTTTCGGATTGATAATTCGAACACCTGAAGGTATCAAGCCAGTGGGGTACAAATGAGTTTCTGTTAAAAAAAATGAGAAAGGTGAAATCGTGAGATATAAAGCCCGACTAGTTGCGAGAAAGGTGAAATCGTGAGATATAAAGCACGAGTAGTTGCTCAAGATTTTTCTCAAATACCTCACATTGACTATATGGTGACATATTCTCCTGTGGTAGATGCAATCACCTTTAGATATCTCATAAATCTTGCAGTTCATGAGAAACTTTAATTACATCTAATGAACGTTGTCAAAGCCTATCTATATGGCTCATTGGACCACTATATTTTCATGAAAATTCCTGAAGCATTCAAAATACCTGAAGCATACAAAGATTCAAGAGAAACTTGTCCTATAAAGCTTTAGAAATCATTGTATGGATTGAAACAGTCAGGAGGATGTGGTAGAATCGTCTGAGTGAATATTTGTTAACGAAAGGGTACAAAAATGACCCAATTTGTCCCTGCAATTTTATTAAACGCTCGAAATCTGAATGTGTTATAATTGTTGTGTATGTTGATGATTTGAAAATCATTGACACTCGTAAAGAGCTTTTAGAAGCTGTTGAGTGTCTAAAAAGAGAATTTAAAATGAAAGATTTCAGCAAGACAAAATTTTGTCTTGGCCTACAGATTGAGAATTTGTCAAATGGAATACGTGTTCATCAATCAACGTACACAGAAAACATATCATTTTTACATTGATAACTCATATCCATTGAGTACTCCAATGATGGTAAGATCGCTTGACATCAATACAGATCCATTTCGACATCAAGAGAAGGATGAAGAGTTTCTTGGTGATGAAACTCCTTACCTTAGTGTAGTCGGGGCACTAATGTACCTTGCTAACAATACTTGACCAGATATCAGTTTTGCAGTAAGTCTACTGGCAAGATTCAATTCCTCCCGAACAAGAAGACATTGGAATGGTGTTAAACACGTACTTCGATATCTTCGGGGGACCATGCACATGGGTTTATTCTATTCCAATGAATCCAAGTCAGAACTAATTGGTTATGCAGATGTAGGGTATTTATCTAGTCCGCATAAAGCTCGATCACAAACAGACTATTTGTTTACATGTGGATACACGACAATATCTTGGCGATCAATGAAGAAAACGTTGGTAGCAACTTCTTCAAATCATGCAGAAATAATAGCCATCCAAGAAGCAAGTCGAGAGTGCATCTAGTTGAGATCAATGACCCATCATATTCAGAAAATGTGTGGTCTTTCTTTGAAAAAGAATATACCAACCACAATGTACGAAGATAATGTTGCATGTATAGCTCAATTGAAAGGAGGATACA